TTTTTGCTTTTAAGTTACTACTCAACATAGCAAAAGAAAGACTACTGTGTATAACTTGTCCATTGCCCCTGTACGAACATTGCAGAGAAAGATGTCTCCTCAAGCTTCTTCTTCTTCTTCTTCTTCTTTTTTAAAAATATTCTGAGATATTCAATTTTGCATTGTCTTGCATGTTTTCTGCCCTATTCCTCCAAGCATAAAAGACGAAAGAAGCAGCAGAAAAAGAAAACCAGAGATAAAAAAGCCTTGACATACACCAAACCTAATATTGAATCTTACAGCTCATGATGATAAATTAACCCCAGAAACGTTTTACAACTGAAGCGAAGATATCAAAGAAGAAAAAGAAAGAAAAAGCAAGCAAAGCATGCATTTCCCTTCTTTTATTACGGAGAAAACAAGCAGGAATCAGCGAGGCAGTCAATCAGAATCAGAATATCAGAATTAAAACTCATTAGCCAAAGGTGCATGTTCAGAGTGCATGAAGACATTGGGATAGATAAGGCCAGCCAAGCCACCACCAACGAGGGGTCCAACCCAGTAGATCCAGTTGTCACGGAAGTCGCCGGAAGCGACGGCGGGGCCAAAGGAGCGAGCCGGATTCATGGAGCCACCGGAGAAGGGGCCGGCGGCGAGGATGTTGGCGCCAACAATAAAGCCAATGGCGATGGGAGCAATGGTCCCAAGAGAACCCTTCTTGGGGTCAGCAGCTGTGGCATACACAGTGTAAACCAAAGCAAAAGTGATAATAATCTCCATAACCACTCCTTCTATTGCTCCCACTCCGGCAGCCAAGGTGTGAGTAGGAGTTGTCTGAAAACAAACAAATCACCAAAACACAGTTATATAAGTTGGGATTCAAAACTCTCAACATAAAAACTAAATTAACATTTGCAGAACTGATTGACTTTTGCAAATTGAAGTTGGGTTAAAAGTCAATTAATTAATCTGATATGATTTATGTTTAGATAATCAGTTTATATCTAAACAAAAACTTAAAGCCACAGGGCCAAAAATCCGAAAAAGTTGTTTCAACTTTAAAATGCCTTCTGAACCAAAAGCCATTTTATGCAAACATTGATCCAAATATGCACTTTTGGGATCTCAAATAATGGGTTTTGAAAAAGCATAGGGATATAAAGATGAAGATATATACCATGCCTCCGGTGACAAACTTGAGGAGGAAGCTAGCGACAATGGCGCCAACAAGCTGAGCAATCCAGTAAAAGATACCAGTGAGGATTGTGATCTGGCCTCCAATAGCCAATCCAAAGGTCACTGCTGGGTTCACATGGCCTCCAGATATGTTAGCTCCAATTGAGACTGCCACAAACAATGCAAATCCATGACATATTGCCACTGCCACTAACCCTGCGGGATCCAGTGCTGCATCATGCGTCAACTTTCCTGCATTTTCCAAACAATCACTTGTTAAAACCCTAAAAACCACTTCCACACAGTCACTTACTTGTAATAATCTGAGGTGATGTGAGGAAACGTGAAGGAAAACGATGGAACTAACCATAGGCTATGGCGGAACCAACACCAGCAAAAACAAAGAGGAAGGTTGAGATGAACTCAGCAAGGTAGGCTTTAATGGAGCCCAGGCTGAAAGAATCGTCGAAGCGTCCGAAAGCTATGGCCATCTTCAGAATTTTTCTATAGGTAGAACCAGAGAGAGAAGATGACAGACAAGTGTTGAGAGTGGAGAAGATTATGGAAGAAAAGGCTCCCCTGAGACGATATATATACTGATTACAACTTGCCAAGTTTAGTTTTGAGGCTTACCAACTAAGTTACTCTCATATTCTCTGGCCTCTAGAGTTGCATTTATTATTGTTATTGTACTGTATATCTTTTCTTTTTATTTTTTTCAAAATAATTTATTATTATCAAGGTAGGCGATTGCTTTAAATTTCTTTTGTGTGATTTTGAAAGTACACCCACGTCATTTAATCAAGCAGGAGTGTTCAATGTTTTAGATTTTATACTTGTGAAATATTCTCTAGAAGGTGAACAAACTTCATTAAAATAAAAATCTTAAAGTTTTTCTTAGCTATTGGGGTAAATATTTTAAGTTTGTTTGAACGTCGGTTTGAAGACGAAAGCAAAAGAGAAATTACATTCAAAGATCACTAAATTTGAAATACTTGCATAAAAATCTTTAAATCATAGCTAAAGTAGAAGGTTTGATCTAATTAACTGATGAGATGCAATTTATTATATAATTCGCCATGAATATGAAAATCCTACTGATAGACTTATTAGTTAAATCTTAAAATATATTAGTCCTGATAGAACTCTAAACTCAACTCACTCAAATTTTAATTGAATATTTTACATATAGTTTGTAGTAAGCTGCATTATTTACTAACAATATGGTCTCTTAAAACTTTTTATAAAAATATCTTCGATATTAACTTTTAATATATGAAAATAACTACAATCTTTAGAGTTTTTTAAAAATATAAACCAATGAAGTTTTTATATAAGGATCAAATGAACAGCAAACACAAATATTTCAACGCATAAACACACACGGCATAAATAATTTTGAATCTATGACCCTCCTTCTAAAAAGGAGATTGGTGCCACCAGACCCAAGTTTCTTTTATTTTATTTTTTTTGCATAAACTTAGGAAGTTCTTTTTATTAAGTACAAGTATTCTTTTATTGAACACACCAACTATAAGCACTCTTCTAGTAGTGATTTAAATTTTGATTCATCACGTTGTAAAGAATTAATTCTCTCTATTAGACTCAAAATATTCACCATACTGTGAGTGTGAGTATTAACTCTCTCTGCTAAACTCAATTCTCGTTGGTTGATATGAATACTTGCATATAAATTTTTGCACGTGAAAATGGTTGGAGTCCAAGAAAATTAAAGCATGGGCAATCCAATATGGAGGGGCAAGCTTAGCTGGCAGTAACGTGATTTATTAGAAATGTCCAGAAGCAAATGAATGATTCCTCCATGTGAGCAGGAGAGAGAACGAAAGGCGGTGTTTGGTGGGACACAAAAAATGATCATCAAAGCAAAAGAGGCGGGCGACGGTGATATGAATTTGCTTTGGACCACACATTGCACCGGCCATGCCCTCCAAAATGGCTCCCCAAGTTTGGACTTTGAAAAATTTGTGGATACAATCTCATTTCAGGGAATTAAATTTAATTCATAGTTCATGTGTTGGATTTATCTGGAGATGATATATTAATTAAGAAGAATCTTGTGGACTTTTCTAGCTCCCCTGCTTGATTAACGCACAAGCGTTTCCTAAAAGGGCTGCTTAATCATAATTATGATCTCATTATTTTGCATACAGGATAAAGTTTTATATTGTATTCATTAATAAGATCCGCAAAGTATTGCTTTTTGAAATATTTTTGGTTTTATCCAAGAACAAAAGAAAAAAGAGGTAAAGGGAGCTTTATATGTTGGGCTTGGGGGTCATAAAGGAAGCTTTCGGATATCCCCATGTGATTCTTCTGTCTTGTGGGATGGTCCAAAAGTTGATATGATCACCGAAACGGATAGTGAATGCTCATCCATGAACAATGCTTTTGGAGTTTTCTCTGTTTGTTTATCTGTTCATCTATTTAGCTTTTAATGAGGTGGGTCACAAGAGCTCTTCCATAGTGTTTGATTTTAACAAAAGGAAAATTAAGGGACTTTACCCGTGAAAAAGGAAAAGGAATGAATGTTAAATCTTCCCTTGATATTTGATAAATGTACGTTTGATTTCATTATAAATCAATACTTTTAACACTTTGTGAGATAAAACTTCTCTCATAATCATTCAAAATAATCTTATTAAAATTTGAAGAACCAATTTTAGTCAGTTTCAAATCTCCATTTTTAGATTAAAATCAATGTTTTTAGAATCAAATCCAAGGATTGAACCGACCAAAACACGGATTCAAGTTTAATCATTGCAACAGCCAAGGAAAATGCTCCTCATATTCAATACATGGGCCAATGTTTCTGTAATATCAATTCGCGCGGCTTTCACATCTATAAGGAAGCCGGAAATGTTAATCATTTTGGAGATAAAGAAAATAATCACGATTCCTTACTTTATATATACTTACATATAAACAAAAATAATTGAACAGCAATTAAAATAATATAATAAATATTGTAGAGGAAGAATTGTTCCTCAAACAAATGGGACCAGGTCTACTGTCTTCCCAAATTTTTCACAGCTTAATTTCGGCTAGAAAATTGAACCACACGCGATAATAACCACATATGATCAGCTGTTGAAATATGAGAAATTTGAGCCTCAAGAACTATTAGATATGGTCTAATAATGAAATGTGAGTAATTACCACCACGGCATTTATCAATAAAATATCATAAATTGATATGGGAGTTTTAACTCCTACGCATAAATGATGCGATATGATGTGAAAAATACAGGGATGAACACTGCTTCATTAATAGCATTGTGTTTGTGGGAAACATGTGTGGGATAGCAATCAAATCAAGAGACGTCTCTTTGGATCCCTTTAGGTAGTCGCATTGACAGTAATTATGGATCCTAATACGGACAACCAAACATAGAAGAAGGTGGCCAACAAAATCACAGCAAGGATTGCTGTCTGTCTGTCTGTAATCAATAGCATCCATGGCTGAGTTTCATTCCCATTTGCAGCAAACTTCAAGGTATCAGATGAAAAAGGAAAATAGAATTGAAAATAGTTTTGAAAATTAAAAAAAGAAAATCATATTCTCAATTTTATTTTAAAAAATAATAGTAAACACAAGAACTACTAAGTCAAAATGAAAAAGTCAACTTTATGGGGCTGTAGGGCCAGGCGGGACAAGTCCTTTTAGGATTGAACAGACTGGGATGGTACCACAACTCTGGCCCATATTCATAACTGTAGTTCTCATCAGATGAACAGCATAAAATAATTTCACGGTGTAACTCGCAAAAGAAGAAAAACAAATTTCATTGAGGGATTTCCGCTTCATTGAGGGATTTCCGCATATCATAACTAAACTGATAGAGCAATGATTAATATTCTAACATTAGTTATGAAGAATATTTTCTCAGATATGAACAGGAGGAAGTTGAAGTTTACAAGAAAGCCATTTCAGGGAATACATTTGAAACTAAGAAGTTAGAAACCAAGACTGAGTGAGATCTTTATTCCAGCAGAAAAGAAAGCTGACTAATCATATCATTAATACATTAATCATTCTACTTCTACCTCCATATTTTCAGGAAAGGGTATTGAAGCACAGCAGTGATAGTATCCATTTTCATCAAAGCAAAATCTCTGGGACAGATGTGCTTCTCTAATGGGATACTCTCCCCAATCCTCTGATCCGTACCGCTTGAATATGCCCCGTGCATCAAAAGAATCAAACCTTTTCCTCTTCGTCCTGAACACCAGAAGCTTAGATTAGCTAATAGCTGTTTGAGCTACAATATCTTAGGAAACTCCAAAATAATACCTTTTTCTATGCCTTGCATTCATCACAGTTGCATGCAACTGCAAATCAAAAAACGAATATCTTGATGAGTGCTCAAAATAAACCAAATCCACACAAAAAAAAAAAAGCACGGAAGAGGGAGATTCTGGTTGCCAGAGTCCCAACCCAAGCATCAGGACAGATACTTTGCATTTTGGCTTTTTCATAAGCAGCATTTCCAAAGGCGCAAACACACGTCTGATGTTTTCTTTTTTTAATTCACAATCAGTTCAGAATGTGTTTTCTTTTTTTTTATTCACAATCAGTTCAGAATGCACATATCATTCTAGTATATATTGTGCCTAAACACCCAAAGGAGGAATTTGTCAAGTATACAGGTGACATCGTGTCAATATCTGGGTTTACACAAATTGTGTGTGTGTAAGAAAACAAGCTGTCATTCTACTGAATAGCATCAATACCAAAAGGAAGATAAAATCGTCACACCAAAACTAGCTCAATCAGATGTATATATTGATGTTCTATTTACCCTTGATCCAAAAGAAACAAGGTATGGGAATAATTTATCATTACCTTCAGCTTCTGATTAACATCATTCTCTAAGACAAGTCCAGCTTCAACATATGCATCAATAATAATTTCTAGAAAAGCTCAGGAAACTCAGATGACTTTGTAAGAGACTAATATATGATCTAAACCAGACAGAATTAACATCACTATTTACGGGTTTAGAGCATGCTTGGTTTTACATTGAAAACCATCAAAACTATGGGGAGATCTTTAGTAGGTCCCTTCTCCTTACTTCAATAAAGATTTTATTAACCCTATGTTCTTGTAATTTCTTTTCTATGGACCTTGTTTATTTTTTGTTCATCGTTTATACTATGCAGACTACCACTGTCCTAGCATCATCTTAATTTCTTGCTTGTTAGTTCTTGCACTTTCCCATTATCATCTAGGCATGCAGACTGCCGCTATTTCAACATTATTTTAATTTCTTGTTATTTACTTTTATGCACAACTATTTTATTGCATTCATTAACTATTTGCATGCTTTAATCATGTAAAGAGAGAAACCATAGTTGTAATGGTTTTTAATGTAAAACCAAACATGCACTAACGAAACCAATTTCATAAGGTACAATTTAAATATGGATACGACAGGCACGTAGAAGACGGCCCTCACTGCCAACTTCTTCCACAGGAGCATACAGGACACGAGCTTTTGCCTGAGAACCTTTCATGCAATCCTGCAGGATTACATATATTATTTCTCCAATAAAAATATCAAATAAAATGCATAAAAGTTTAATCTGATAATAGGAATAAAAACAGTCTCCATCTGCTGCACATAAGGCTATAATAAATCTTTCAACGAAGGACTGCCCAGACTGAGAATGAGAATTATAAGATCCCATGCTTATATATTACAGTCCTAATGAAATGTCGAATCATAGGAATGATTGGTCTATAGCCGGCAAAGGGTAAATTTGCAAGTTCCATATATACCAGAAAGAACAAATTTGCAGATAAAAACCCTTTAACTTGTTCAGTTATTTTAATCTGCAGATTAAGTACTAATATTAGACAAAGTCAAGGCATGGTATCTAGTCAGCTACTCAGCATGTATAAATTTATATGATGATTGCATCAGCCGAGTGGAAATCAAGATGGACTCCTACCAATCCTTTTAATTTCACAGAGAGAGGCCGATTGTCAAGGGCTTCCCTGACTCTTGAAGAGATATTCTGCATAGTGACAAAGGTAATTACAGACAAAGAATTTACCAAACATAGTATATTTTGTAAACACTACACATAAGCTTCAACCAACAGGTTAAGCTTTTAAGTTGCAATGGGCTTTCACCTACCTGTAAGACCTCAGTAGCTTTCTTAACTCGATCCTTGTTCCACAATTTCAGCATGAGTACAGTAAGATGAAACGTTTTAGGCTTAATGAATATAGACCTGTCAATCCCCAAGTCTGAAAAGTGCAACATAAATCAGCATCATGTGAGGGGAAATAACAATAAACAGAGGAATGCAATTAACTTGAAGCATCTAACTAATCCTTGTTGAGTTTCAGGAGAACAACACAAGCAAAATAATGAGGCATGAAAATAACTAGTTACAATTAACACAGGCATGTCTTGAGAATATAACTTGAGCTAAAATAAAAGATTAGCTAAAGATTAGGACTCTTTGAAGCAGACATTTTCAGTGAGCACTAAGCAGTACCATGTAACTAAATGCATAGATTATGGAGAAAAAAATAGAGAATATTTGTACTGCTGAATAAATTACAGGACACATACTCACAATCCCTTAACTAAATTTACAAAAATATTTCAATCATAACATAACAGAATATAGCTTATTTTTATACCAGATAAATCAGGAGACTTGGATGTAGAAGATTTGGTTGCTTTAGGTGCATAACTGACAAGTGGTATGTTTGTGAGATTCACTTCAACTGATTCATTGCTGTCACGGACTTTAACTTCAACTGCAACTTTAGGTTTTTCCTCTGACAAAGCATCTTGTTCTTCATTGTCGGTATTTTCTTCATTGGAATCAGATTCAAGATTCTCATCCACGCAAGAATCACCAGTTCCCAGGATCGAATTTTGAAAACTGACAAGTTTATTCACTAACTCAGGATGGATAGCCAAGGGAAGCGATATGAAGTGTGAATAATCAAGATTTCGACTCTTGACTGCCTGTTACAAAACACAAGATATAAATTTTTGCATGATACTAAAACGAATAGTAATAATTACCACTGATATAGTACACTTTTAATAAACAAATTGGAACTGGAAGTAAATTTAACTCTAATTCTATCCAAGGGTACATAGACAGGCAACTGACCTCATCAATTATGGCCTGTATCCTCTTGGAAGCTAAGGTCACACTATCGATTGAAATGCCTTCAATGGCTGCAAAAGACAATCATACAAAATCCATTAGATGTTGGGTCATGATACCCACTCTTCCTTGATTCATGATGATGGGGTTTAGTGTTTCTGTTAAATTCAGCTTTAGGGTGTATAGAGTTAAATAGAGTCTAGTTCAACTTGAAGCAAAAGCCCAGAAAATCAGAATGATTCATACATTCTTTTGAACGTAGGCAAAAACTATTTTTCATGTATAAAGAAGGCTATTGAATACACCAATGAGGAGGGTAGATCAATTAGCATAAAGTCCTCTAGAAAGGGATAGAGAATGATCGAATAGCACATATGTGAAGTTATTGAGTGAGACCTTTTCGTAACAATTTATTCAAAGATTTGTTTGTTGATAGAACATAGTGAGGTCCATGGAACCGGCCCCAGCTAGTGGAATAAGACTTGTTATAGGTTGAATCAACTTCAGTTATTCAAATATCTCAAAGCATAACAATAGCTAGGATCAAACAATGGCATTATAGAGAATAGTTATTTCTTCTGTTGTTCAAATGCTGGTTTCAAGAGAATAATTATTGCAAAGATGAAAAGACAGGCAGTGTGTATGGGCAAATCCAAAAACTTACTGACAAAATCATCTTCTTTTGAAGATGGTAAAATTATCTTAACCCCCATCTCCTCTTCAATATTTTTCTGCGTGGATCCCCTGAAACAGCATCAACCATCAGACATAAGGTAATAGCTAACAATCAAGTAATCCAGTTCACATATGATATGCAAAACTTTCCACCCTGTCCTTTTGATAACATCAATAAGAGGATTTGTATCCAGTATAACGTGTGTTACATGAATCCCAATTCAGATTATTTAGAATCCTTTACTTATATTACAATTTCCCTTTCCAGTCTATCTTTCAATCTTATCAGGGCCTACACCTTTAAAAGTACACATGAACAAACTTCCACCCATGTAACAATCAGCATCCATTTCATCTTCTTAAATTATTACCAATGCCAAATAAAAATTAAATATAGTTTTTACCCTTTTCCTTTGATAAAACGAAATAGAGAAGCACCAACCTGCACATCAAACAAATGAAATGAAAACAGAATGAAAAAGCTGCAGCATTTGACTAGTTAATGCATAATAGAAAAAGGAATAACGTAAAAGTACAGATTGAGTGGCTAAACCAGAGATCAGAAATAAGGCAGCATATAGAGTAACAAACTCTCCACAAAAGCAACAACTAATACATTTTCTTTTACTCAACAAGTAATACCATTTCTTTTACTTACATATTTGTAAAGAAAAAGCAAAAATATCAGAAATAACTCAAGCTATAAACCGTTGTTGTGCAAAAAACGAAAAATGAAAACAAAGAACCAACTAAAAGGAAAGTGGGGAAAAGCACATAATATATCATCAGCAGGGCCTTTAAGTTCTCCCGCCTGGTAACAAAACAATAAATTTTAGCGCCACAGTAATATCTTATGTAGATTGAAATCACCTATTCAACAACTGGGTAGCAAGAAAGGACAAATGGTAACAGCATGGGAGGTCAGATAAATAATACTGGTTCACATCTGCATAAAGTACAAAACTACCAAAGATGGAAACAGCAAAACTGAACAGAAAAAGTATAGACTTGCCTCAACAGAAATTGAGTGCTTTTCGGTGGAAACAGCTAAACTTCCTTCTAGCACTAGGCTAGATGTGTCAGCCGATTCAGTTAATTCAACCACAACTTCAGCAGCTGCCTCCGTAACATGGTCATTCATAATAGTGCTAGATTCACTACAGCCCACTTCATGAATATCTCCTCCATCTTCTGACTCAACCATCACATTCTTTACCAAGCTTCCTGCAAAAATACACAATTCCATACAGATCTTATCATCAAATTTTATTAGGTCGGATAACCACCTCCCCCTGCTGCCCTTAAGGGACAGAAAGTATCCACATTTATATTAAAGAGATGCTATGGAACTTCATGTGCCTGTCAATCATTAATTATAGGAAATATATAAAATACCAAAATTCTTCACTGACCTATGAACCTGGAGAATCATTATCATAATCTTAAGATCAGGCAGAAGTAAAGAGTACATCTATCACAATGCCAAAAATATATTACGTAATATGGATGTGTGTATGTAATTTCTAGGAGTTACGAGGTTGTTAACTGATAGTAGGCCAACGGCTATATAAGTGAGGGGAAGGAGGTGTTTATTCAGATTGGCGGCCAATGACGGAAAGTTTTTACTTCCTCTCTCATTCCCACTTCTTTCTTCTTCATTTCAGAATACTGCCCTCAACTCATGATACGGTAAACAAATAATATACCTCACGGGACAACTGAAAGTTGATTTCATACTCTCAGAATTGGGGGCCAGAGGGAGGACAAACCTTTACGAGAACTGGCGCAAGTGGAGACTGGTCTCCATACAAGATTTGTATTTTTCTGTTTCTTGTCATGATCTTCAATAACGAGGCTCTTCTTTCTAGCTTGCATAATTAAATTACAGCTTAATCGATGATAACTTCTCTGATCCTGATAAAAATTAAAAAAAATAATAATAAATTTAAGCTTGTAAGAGGCTTGAATGCTTCTAAATAACCTACGATATACTTGATATATAATTACATCTCATAACTATCAAGAGATTACAACCCAGTGCACAGATGAGAAAGTATCATAAAAAGTTCACAGTATTGTCTGCATCAGTGGATCAAGAAATAAAAAGAAAAGACAAAAAAAATGGATATGGCATGATTTTTTCTTGGAATAAAAGTGAGATTCCCATAGAAAAAAGCGTTCACAGGCATATAATCGTTCATAGCACTATTTTTAGGACAAGATAAAGAGTTTTATTGGATATAAGATTAAAGAATATAAAAAAGGAAGGAGGATAAGGAATTTTTTCCCTATTGGACGAAAATAAAGATAAGAAATTCTCAAACCATAAAAGAGAAGAAAAACTCTAAACAGAAGAAACAATTGAAATTTGAAAGCCCCAGGCAACATAAAGGTGTGGGTTTTCTGTCCAAACCCTTGGCGTATAATATTAAATCCCTTTTAAAACTTCCATACGTACGCAACAGAGAAATATATCAATTGTTACCCTATCTGTCTATCAATACATACAACTTTGCGTGCTTCCTGTTTTCCAATAAATTCTTTCAAGCTAAAATGCGTGTGCAATACAGCGTGATAATGCTTTTGAAATATGAAACCATATCCCGATTTGCTAGATTGAATCAACAACTTAATTATGCTTAGTTTGTAAATTGCATCGTTTCAATGTGCATATAGACAATATCTGTAATACAGTACTTTCAGATGAAAGCAACAGCGCCACCTCAAACTCGTTTCTCGATAAGTATAGTTATTAACACTTCATAAGAAAACCGAAGCGATGAAGAACCTTATCACAAAGAATGTGTAATAACAAATGAACAACCTCCGAAGTGTAACACAATAGTGAAAGCTCTGAACCTGAAAACATCCTACAGGTTTTGGTGCGATATATGTAGTACTGAATTTTAAAACTCGATCAACTCTGCGAAAAAGGCCAAGTCACGTCACAACTACCCAGTGAAGGGGAAGTGGCAAATTAACTATAATTCTTCGAAGAAGCTTAACAACTCAACAAGAGAAGGAAGTATCCAGCAACATAAACAAATTGGTCAATGGGAACCCCTTAGAATTCCAATAACAGTTTTAGAATCTTAAGAGCTGAACAGTGAGAAGACTGATAAATAGAAAGAAATCGAAATATCTTATTGGATTATAACAAACATAAAAGAATTGTGATTAATGAGTTCAAAGTAAATTCGCTGTATTAGCTGAGACATGAAGCTTCCAGTGATTATGAAGCAGAAAATGGAGGTTTCACAGGACTTACCTGAAGAAGGACCTGCAAGGGATCATTTGCCCTGTGCGCAGTCTTGACCAGTTTCTTTACCTAAAGCGAAGAGCGCTGGAACGGCTTCGGCCGCGTTTGGCGGGTGAAACTTCCTGCACAATGTCTTTTTCATTAAATTAAATATTACCTCGTCCAATACTTAATATAAAAACTAATTTTATTTTTAATTTAATTTTAAATTATCTTAATTTATTTTATTTTTTAACTTTATTTTTAAAAAAACAGTCTTTATAATAGCTTATATATTAAAATCTAGTTAAATAATAGTTTTAACTAATATATAAGTTAGCGAAAAATTTTAAGAAAAAGAACATCAAGTTATTACAAATAACTACTCAATAATTTTTTTTAATCTACTCAAATTAATTAACTAGCTATTATATTAAAGATCCATCCACAATACCTCATATTCTTAGTATGAGACCTATTAACACTTAGTTAGAAGTTAGATTTAGTTATTATAAATATAATAATCGAAAAATGACGAAAACTACTTATTAAAATTTAAAGGATATATGAATTTTTAATAGATTTTAACCTTTTAAATCCTTACACTAGTCTCACAAAAAAAATTACAATAATTTGTCTCTATAAAATTTGAACAGGTTTTTTTTTAGTATAATATCTCAATTTATTATGTACCCTAATAATTTTCTTAGTAGGTTAGTTTCGCCCCAACCTGGTCAAAATTAATGAATGAACTTAAGCAAATTTTCTTAGTACAATAATTTTCTTTTTTTTAATAAAGAGCAAAATGATACTAAGAAAATATGATGGTTACATGGAAAAAAGCGAACAGGACAAAAATGTAATTTTACAAAGGCAACCCATATAGACATATAATGAGGCGGCAAAAACGAATCATGTTCTGCTTCTTTTTGGGCATGGCAACGGTCCCTCCATGCATGCATGTGGAGCAGTGGAGGTGCGGGGAGTAGCAGCAGGTATGATTTAATAATTTTCTTATTGAGATTGGAGGCAAGACACATGAAATTAAGCAAATTTATAGAGATTGTATATAATTAAATAATTAAATTAAAATAAAATAATAGTAATTTGGTTTTAATATATTTTAAATCTTGATTTCTTTCCATTTCCATTTTTAACTTTCTTCTTCTTATGTTTTGAGTCCTGAATCTTAGTTAAAAGGTCAAGATTATGGTGACAAAATAAAGAAGAAGACTATTACAACTCCAAAAATGGATCAAACTTATGTTTCGGCATTAATACTGTTTTTTCTTTAGATTTTTATTTTTCTTTAAAGAAGATCCTCTAATATATTTTGCAAATCAAACTCTACCTAGTACATATTTTAGTCATCCAAGTTGATGAAAAAAATCAGCAAATTTGTTGAGTTTAACTAAGGACCTGTTTGGATGACAGAGTAAACCATGATTTGGAAGCAAAACCATGGTCTGCACAAAATGTCATCCAAACAGGTTTAAAAATTCTCAAACCCTGGTTCCAAGTAAAACCATGGTTTCCATCGGGAAACCATGGTTTTATCAAAGTAGAAATTTGTCACTTCTGGACAAAAAAATTTGAGTGAAGCGGAGTGATAATTGGAGGCAATAGTCATAGACCGAAAACACCCTTCTTCCTTTGCTTTGCTGGCCGACACTTTGGAGTGATTATTCTCTATCTCACCCAGCTCGAATCTAACCAATATTCAGCTCGCCTCTTCGCCCTTTCTTCGTCATCTCACCTCTTATACATTATTCATCAGCTCGCCTCTTAATATTTTTCTGTTAGCAAAAAAAATCAATTTTCTATAAACATATTTAATATTATGTTTTATAAATATATATACACATATTAATTATATTATTTTATATATTATTAATTATGTTAGTAAAAATTATTTCATTAACAGTTTTATTTCTTCAAATCAAATATATTATAAAATCTATCCCTTATATAATTATCATATTAACTTATACCTTTTTAGTAATTTGCACATGTAAAAAGTGTTTCTGGTAACAACTATCCAAACACTCTTATTTTTCAGAATCACTTTTTCACAAAATCTATTCTTTACAAAATCTATTCTCCAAACTATGATTTGGTTTCATCCAAACACCCCCTAAGTCACTTGTAAAGTTGTGAATTCAATCAAACTTGCAACTTTTATGGGTTTAAAAGGACGTAGACGCAATTTTCTAGCTAAAAACACAAAGACTGTTATGAATATTGCATGAGTGAATATTCTCTTAAGATTCCTCGTCTTCAAGTATAATAGACTGCATAACCTTCTTAATGAATAATTTGAGAGGAGTTTCTTATTATTAATGTCATTATAGTCCTTTTTATTTCATTGTAACCCTAGTATAGGATTTCAATACTTGAAAGCTTATAAATAAAGGTTATATATAAGGAATTTGCACCATGAAATAAAGTGAATGAGCAAAAGGTCACTATCTTCTTTATCTCTTGTTTTTCTCTGTACTCTTTAGTTTTCTTATTTTCTCTCGTGTTATAATAAAGGCAATAAATTTAATCAGTCTTAATTAGTTGATTTGCAAGTTTAACAATACTTACTATGATCACCTCCTATGTGAAATCTAAAAACTGAGTATTTCCTATTATTAACACTACCTCCAGTTTTTAATATAAGACATTATTTGATTTTTATTTTGGTCCTAATTATAAAACCCCAATCCACTTTGTTTATCGTGTTTATACATTTTTTCAAGACAGTCCTTTTAATAATAGTAGTTCTAGTCAATCACTTAGTAATTAAAGATATTTTAGGAAAGATAACACATTTATTACAAATAACTAATTTAAATTATTTTCTTAATCTCCTCAAATTAGTCAACTAGTTCTTATAATTAGGATCGGAAGAAGTATTAATGTAAAATCTAGTTTATATTGTAAATAAATTATAAATTAAATTTTATATTAACTACAAGAGGTAGTATAATTTAGTATAAATTTTAGAGAAAATTACGTAGATCCCACATAAGAGATTTTATTTATTTAAGGTCCCATAAAATGTCAAAATTACTGACAGGTCCCAAGGGACCTTAGAGTAATATATTTTATTTGTAAAATGACGTTACTGCCCCTCACATTCCAAATTCACATTTGCTCTATCATTGCGATTTACAACCTCAACAGCGATTATTAACAACCCAATGAAAAGGTATTGACAACCTAAGCAACATCCGTTAACAACTTATTTTATAGGATCACATAACCTCCACATAAGAGTAAATTATAACCAAATAATATAATACAACAACTTTAACACCAAAATGGGAAGCTTTTTGAAATCATTAAGAATTTTAACTAAACCCAATAGGATTATAGCAAAATTTTAATGCGGAGATCGACTGACAACCTCAACAATAAGTATTAATAACCTAAGGAAAATGGTTAATAGCCTTAGCAGTGTCCGTTAACAACTAACTTTATAGGATAATATAACATCTAACTATAACTAACTAAATTATAACTAAATAGTGTTAAAGTTAATCTTATATAGTTGTTGAAGCTTATATTATCCTATAAAGTCAGTTGTTACCAGACACTATCTAGATTGTCAACAGCTCTCCTTGGGTTATTAATATTTACCGTTGGAGTTGTCAATGGATCTCCGCATTAAAATTTTACTATAATTCTAGTAGATTTAGTTAAAGTTCTTAATGGCTTCGAAAAACTTCTCATTTTAATATTAACGTTGTTATATTATATATTTGGTTATAATTTACTCTTATGTGATGTTATGTGATCCTATAAAGTAAGTTGTTAACGGATACTGTTTAGGTTGTTAACACCTTCTTATTGGATTGTTAATAGTCACTATTGAGGTTATAAATCGCAATGACAGAGCAAATATAAATTTGAAATATGAGGGTCATTTTACAAATAAAATATATTATTCTAAGTTTGGTTGTCAGTAGTTTTTACATTTCGTAATGTCTTTTGTGAGACTTCTGTAACTTTCTCTAAATTTTATAAAGGTACGTAGCTGTACGTGAAATAAACGTGTTTGATAATGCGACACAAATTGTGTGGGGGACCTTTTTTTTGGCGGTTTTTTTTTTGGGGGGGGGTGGTTTAAGAGAAAGGGACGTTTTGATCCTATGTACAAAAACGTTACATTAAAATATGAAGGATGAAACACGTGATCCCAAAAACCAAAACAAAACAAAGATAAGGCCCTAAAATACTAAAGATAGATAATTTTGATAATTTTTAATCAAGCCATCTAATATAAGAGTTAGTTATCTAGTTTGAATATATTAGTTATTTATAATAAATATGAATCGAATTTTCTAGAATAACCTTGGCAGCTGTAGAATTGAAAAAATCTTCAAAAAATTATATAAATTCTGATTAATTCTCATTAAAAAAATTTGAAATTTAATAAAAATAAACAATTTATTTAATTTATTTAGTAGTTTACCCCCTTTGTGTCAAATTCATATCAAAAAAAGAAATACTACTAATTGATAGAATATTTAACATATGCAATTATTATAAAGATTGTTTTAAGAGAATAGATAAATATGAGAAACAAAATAAATTGGAATCTTATTTAATGCCAAATTGAAAGTCCAACTAACTCTTATATCAGTGATAAGAGGTTGCCTAAAGTAATTAATTAGTGACACAAGACTTCCTATTATGCTTATAGGAAATTATATATTATAACCATGTTGCGCTGGATTAAAAAAGATATTATTAGATTATAATATTGATAATTCTACAAGCATATAACTTCTAATTAAACGCTCCCAAGACATGGATTCACTTGTTTTTTTAATCTGCAACGTCAGTTCTTTTTTCTTTTTTTGTGCCATCCCACAGTGCAAGTTCTTAAGAACTAATATCATTTCAAGCTAGTTTTTCGAAGGTAGTATATTTTTAATTCATTTTAGTGTGCATCTATTTTATTGATTTCATCCATTTGGCCTCTCAAAAATTATTTTCACACTTCTTTTTATATGGGCGTTTTCGTCATTTGATGTTGTTTGTCTATAGATATAGTAGTTATATATAACTTTTAAAAAGTTAATGTTTTGATTTAACTGAGTTAAAATTCAGTTATTAAATTTTAACTCGATACAATTCAATTTTTATAGTTTTGATTCAACTAAAACTTAATTTTTGAATTTTAACATTTTTCTGCCAACTCCTAAATTTTAACTTATGTGGTGTTTGGATTCTCTTACGAGCACTTTTAAAAAGTATTTTTATACAAGTCCAGATAAAATTCTTCTTACATATTTAATTCGTATATCATAAAATTATTTTTAAAACTAGTTTGGTTTCTATTCAAACACCCTTATAACAACTAGTTTCTACAAAATTAGTATCTAAAGTTTTAGTTTTGTAGGATTATAATTTATGTTAAAAGAGGTATCTATATTTAGTGTTCTACAGTATCTTAAATAAGATTGTCTCCAATAAAAACATACTTATGCTTGGAAAAAATATATAATTTTATTTTTTAAAATACAAGAATTAATATTTTAAATGATTTAAACTATAGAGATTAACTTATAATCTAGTACAAGGCCTAAAAAAACTTACAATCGAGTCAAAGTTTAAAACTAATTTTTACATTTAAATCAGAATTATATAACTAATTTGTACGGAATTAAGAATTAAGAACTCAATTACAAGTTTACAACTGATACAAAAATACAACAGTAAAAAAAAAAAATTTTTCTCTATTTTTTATTTGCGGTACATGTTTGTAAAAACCAGTGGATTTTGGCATTTTGCAAACCAAACACCGCCGGGGGCGCTAACTTACGCGGGTTGCGAAGAGTGAACCTTCATCTTTAACCGCACGGATCGATGAGTCACGCAATGACATGGCCTCTGCTTTCTGAGTTTTGATGCCACAAATCGCTCCTTCTCGCACTCGCCCCCGTCATTCATCTTCATCGTCGTTTATTTGCTATCTCTCTCTTCCCGTATCCTTCTTTGAGCTATTGCTTCGATCCTGATAATACAACCCCAAAATCCTCTTGTCCTCCAGTCCAGTACGGCAGTACTATTCGTATCATTGTATAACCAAATTCCAACAATTAATCTCTTCCAGGAGAGCACGAAGTTTCTACCTTCTCATCGATCTGTAACTGTTGACAGTCCGTCTTACCGAGTTTGTGTTGCATGTCTTTAGAGAATACCATTTTTGGCTGGTAAATTAGGGGGCCTCTCGTCTTAATTGAGGATTTTGGATTCTGGGGTTGTGTTTCTATCTTGCTCGGTAGGTGTTGTGATAATCAAGCGAGCTTTAGTCGATCAGTTTAGGAAATAATGGAATCAAGTCGAAGAGCGGTAGAGTCTTATTGGAGGTCGCGGTTGATCGATTCTGCAACATCGGATGAAGATAAAGTCACTCCGGTGTATAAATTAGAAGAAGTTTGTGAACTTTTGCGTTCTTCGCATGTTAGTATTGTGAAGGAAGTTTCGGAGTTCATCTTAAAACGACTGGAGCACAAGAGTCCAATTGTAAAGCAGAAGGTATGATTGTTATTTGAGTAGTTTTTCCTTGCTCAACTTGCACGAAGGGGACTGGGTAGTTGAGAGTTAGATATCCGATGTGGAGTTTTGTTATAGTCGATGAAGTGGAGAATTGGAAAAAGCGCGGTCTCTCAATTCTCATTTTATGTTGCTCTCTTGTTTGTTTAGGGCAAAAGAAATAGGTGGAATCACCTTCTATGGGAAGATATAAGAGACTAGATTACAAATTGAGTGATGCGATTGCGAAAATGCACACTTTTTCTCTTCTTTATTGAGTTCTGTAATGAAATTATATGCAAGCATTTTTTTCCCTTTTCAGCTTGAACTTGAATTTTTTTTCCCCTGGCCTTTTTGAATGGTATGTTTAATGATTAATCTCATTATGCTGTATTTATTTGCTCATGTTTGCAGGCTTTAAGATTGATAAAATATGCAGTTGGGAAGTCTGGTGTGGAGTTCAGGAGGGAAATGCAGAGACATTCAGTCGCTGTTCGTCAGCTGTTTCACTACAAGGGACACCCGGATCCATTGAAAGGTGATGCACTAAACAAGGCAGTGCGGGACACTGCTCATGAGGCCATCTCTGCCATCTTTTCTGCAGAAGACGGTAAGCCAACACCTGCTGAAGATCTTAACAGGCGGATACAAGGGTTTGGGAATACAAACTTTGAATCGTCATTGGAAGATAAGAAATCCTTTATTAGTGAGGTAGTTGGTCTTGGAAGTGCATCAATCAAGCAAGGACTTAGTAACTTAGCACAGGGACATTCAATTATGAAGAATGAAACAGGAACCTACAAGAGTCCAAATCTTCGAAGGTCGTTAACTATAGAAACGGAAGATAGTGGCAGATATGAGCCAGTTACATATCGTAATGAAGCTCACAGTAGCCTTGGACATTCAAAGAATCAATCTAGTGGTTCTTGGAACCCTGACTCAAGAGTGGTTAAGGTGGGAACATTTAATGATGCTTCCAATGCAAGCCATTCAGAGAGCAAGACACGGGAGGATAGGTTGCTGGAGACAATTGTAACCTCAGGAGGTGTACGCCTGCAGCCCACTCGAGATGCCCTTCAAGTTTTTCTAACAGAGGCTGCAAAGTTGGATGCCTTGTCTTTAAGTCATTCCCTTGAACTAAAGCTTCAATCTCCAATGTGGCAGGCACGTCTTTTCAAAGTTCACAATGATTTCTTGTTTTTTATGCACAAAAGAAAGGAAGAAAACACACGCACGTACATGCATGCCCATATCAATTTCTCAAGCACATTATGGTGAACTTTTCATCACTATTCTAGCTTAAAGATATCATAAGCTTAAAGGGCTCATGCTTGCATATCTGCATGGACTTATTGGCCCACGCATTCACGTTTACCTCAACCTTTTGCAATGAATTGTTAAATATCACTTTTGTTGAATATTTGCCATGTTGCACTTATGCTAACGCAACTTTATAGCCTAGTAGAGAGCCTTAAAAACTTCTATGCAACATTAATTGGCATGTCTTTTCAACTTTTGAAAGTTATGTTTATAGGTTCGCATGAAAGCTGTCTGCGTCCTTGAAGCCATCCTTAGGAAAAGGGATGATGATACCTTTTCACGTATAGCATCATACTTCACCGAAAATAAAGATGTGGTAGTGAGATGCTCAGAATCTCCCCAAGCTTCGTTGAGGGAAAAGGCTAACAAGGTACTCTTATTATTGATCTGTACAAATAATTCACATGAAATTTCACCTTCTCATTCATCTTGGCCCTTAAATTTTATATCAATATGTTATTGCTTGCCTCGCTTTAATGTGCTTGGACCATCATTTTACTCAAGATGTGGTCAGTTCTCTATGGACTTGTTGGATGAACACTTCTGGATCTGATTGGTAAACTGCTAGTTCTCTGCCAGGAAAGTGCTAAAGAAGTTATTCAGGGTCCAATGCTATGCTTAGTTGGTTAATGAAGATTGCTTGCTGAGCAGGGAAATAAGCCCCTCATTTGAGAGAATATTACTAGGAAAGAATTATGATGATGAGTGTCGTTTTTAAAATGTTGGGTGGAGTATAATATGATGCCAAAAGATCCAACTTCCAAGCAGAGGACCTATACTATTTTCTCATAATATCTATAGCTGAGGCTTAAAGTTTGCTATTAATCCTAAATTTTCCCCTTTTCTAAGCTAGCAATTTCTTCCTTCTTCTATGCGATCATGTGTTTTTGTCTTTGGGGTGATGACTTTCTCTTAATATGTGCCCATCATGCATCTTATTTTAGAACTTCAGTCATCAGTAATTCTCCATGATTGTCTTAATCAAAGCTGCCGTTGTCCTGAAGGCATTGGGTGTTCAGATTGTGCAACTTTCATGTTAATTAAAAAAAAAAAGGGTAAATTATGGAAATATGGAAACCAGAAGGCCTTTAGGCTATGTCTTAATCCTGTGTAAAATACCATGAAGTTCTGTCCTTTCTTGGCAAAGTTATGTTACGTAAAATTGAGCTCTTACCTGCGTCAAATTGGCTGGTAATATGTGTACCATTCGCAATTTTTTAAAAAAATGATAATGTCTTGCACTCTTGCTAAATGCGGCGAGTTCAATAGAATTCTCTTTAGTGCAAAATTACATTTTGTAATTTTATCTCGCTCTTGGCCCCTTGATGGACAGGTTATTGGTCTTCTTGGTGGAGATCAGCCAAACAGCTCTCCATTTATTTCAGAGAAGCCTGTAAAGGCAGAGGCTGCTACTGTTGCTGAGTTGCCCAACTTGATAGACACTGATGATTCCAATGAGAATCTTGGAGGGGATGATATTACAAAGAGTACAACTGATCAGAATGTATCAAATTTGGCACCATCCACACCTTTGGTTGATGATTTATTTGGAGATTTCAATGGTTCTGCCGAATCTAGTATTGAACAGAGAAATGACGATGACCCCTTTGCTGATGTATCATTTCATACAAATGAAAATAAAGGACAGGCGGATGATCTCTTTTCAGGGATAACAGTTAGTGATAAACAGAGTGATAGTTTGACTCATGGGCTGGGAAGTATTAGTGAGCCAGAAACTTTTGACATTTTTGCTTCCAATTCCACTCAAGCAAACTATGAGCATGTTAATGATTTAATGTCTGGGTTGTCTGTTCATGAAAATGCATCAAGTTTAACGCAGAAAACAACATCTTCCACCTCACAATCCGAATCTTTATTGTCAGGCTTGAATATTCAGTTTAGTCAAGAAGCCCCTGATCATGGCTTGGCCAACATGTTGAACTCTCAAGCAGTTGGATCCAATGCAAATCCCATGTTTCCTACTGGCCATCTGCCATATAATGCGCAGCCTGGTATTATGTTGAATCACATGTATCCGTCTCAACCACTTAATTATAATGCCATGGGAAGTCTTTTGGCTCAGCAGCAGTTCCTGGCAACCATGGCTAATTTCCAGCACCTTAGTAATGTAAGCATGCAAGATGCTGCTGTTGCTCAGATGGCTGGAACCAGTGGAAGAATGCCAATGCCAGACATATTCCAACCAAATTTTCCTACTCAAACTCCTACCTCAATGATTAGCAGTTCCAAGAAAGAAGACACTAAAGCATTTGATTTCATCTCAGTAAGTCCAGGCATAGATGTTTAATCTATATGTCCCATTGGTTAGGATTGTGACTTTGTGCTTTGCGAGATTCTAATTTTGTTTGCTATTGATTTTTGCAATTTGAACGAAAATTTGGACATAACGAGATATGTGTAGTTGATGGAAAGTGCTCTAGCGGAAAACTGCTCCCTAGCAGCTTGATCTAACATTTTCCGGTCTTGGTGATTACTGGGCTTGCATATGTTAGATGAACTTGATTGTAATATTATCAGTTGATTCTTTATCTAGTTTTTGGTTGATTCACCTGGTCATGTTTCATGCTTGTAGGACCACATTTCTGCGGCTCGTGATACTAGGAAGGTGATTTGAATCTGAAAGGCTGTGCTTTTGCGACGATGGACTTCTATGGTTTTGTACTGCTGGATTTGGTACCAATATTCCCTAGAAATGTTGTGCAGTTAGTTGAGTTATTGCAAGCTACAATTCAGGCATGAATAGAAATACCCCCGCCTTTCTCCATCCATATTTATAGTACTTGAGGGTGCTTCATTCACTGTTTTGCTTGCTTCGAGAACAATAAGAACGATGAGCATGGTTCATTTCGTTTAGTACCTTGCTCTGTCTCGCGATGCTTATGATGCGATTTGACTGTAGTTCTGGGCATGAATCGATGGTTGAATTGGCTTTACCTGGTTGTCTGCCACATCGTTGGTCTGAACTTTTTCCCCTTTTCCCCTTTTCTTTTTTCATTTCTTCCTTTTTTTCCTTTTTATTTTAAGTGAAGGAGATTCTATTAAGTAGTTCGCACAGAAACTCGGATTTTCACGATGTTACGAATCAGTGTTGATCTTTACTAGTAAGATTTTTGGCGATGAATTTACTTCATGCTGAGGATCATTTAATCGAGTTGAACTACTTAAGATGGCAGGTTGCATTCAGAAATATGTGGGGTTTTTTCTTTCCTTGAATGTGAGGGACAATCCAAACCTATAACAAGCTTAAAAGCGTTGCTTCCTATAACAAGCTCGCAAGAACAGAAGCATCTACAAACAAATCTTTGAAACAAGCCTACAATTCCCCTAGCAAAAGATTTCGCCAACGAATAAGGGGGATAAATTCACTGTAGTATTTGAGAGGTATCTATTGGATTGCCTGATTTGATGTTTTTATCTTCTATAAGAAGCATGTCAAACTTTATCTATTGAAAACAGCGATATCCCAATTTCCGATCTTGTCACCACCAATTTTGAACTTCCATATATTTTCCTGGGTCTTTCTTTTAACTTCCTTCCAAATGCATTTTTCCTTTATCCCGCCAAAAGAATGCTGTTGCAAAATCAGCATCTGCTTGTCACACGAACTATATATGAAGAAAATCCTAAAAAAATTATCTCTGCTCTTCCCAGGCTTCAATTATCAACCCTCAGTAATTTTCCCTCCAGGAGTTTCCCCGTTACTTTCCTTGAAACCAAGCTCTGACAAGTCTTGCTTTGCCATCAAGTTCCTGAAAGATGCCAATTAAAGTTCATAAACAACTAATTCGTCAAAAGAAAATCGTCTCAAAAGATACCCAAGAGCAATACATATCCAATACATCAACTAAAACAATGTTGCGGATATGCTTGTCGTAGCAATTAACCCAAGAATAAATTCAGCAGTCTATTGCAAGTGAAATTCTTATTTATTAAACATGGTGTACAACCAAGTTTGCAAGGAGATCATAGACGTGATCGTGGATCCCACCACCTAAACACCCACTTCGATGAGCATTCAGTCGTTGAATGGTCAATCTATGCGCATAATTGTTGAGTATGAAAATTGAAAGAAAACAAGAATCGGAATGAAATAGATCAAAGATAACTCTTATATCCTTACTTAAAACTGCGCAATCAAAAAATACATTGTTGAATAATGATAACAAGAACATGATGGATATTACATAAAATAAAAAATAATCATCATCATCTTTCTGCATTTCATAAGATTTAATTTCGTTTTCTTCCCTACACCAAACAGACTGTAAGAGCCCACTCTCAATACCATAACTGCTCTTAGGCCGCAGCCTGCTATTACTGTTCTGTAGTATTAAATAACCAATTGTTGAGGTTTTATGATTTTTATTGCGTGTATGCGGCTTTAATCGTCATCCTAGAAGCGCCAATGCATATACTATAGACCACAATCTTTAATTGCACAAACTTTCAAGGCAGTTGCTGATCTAGCACAACTACTTCCAATTAGCCAAATATTTATATCGTTATTCACAAGACTAAACCATAACCTTTAAATTGCAATCGGAAAGGAATACAATCTCTTCACTACGAGATAAACAATTTAAATCTCCAAGCCATGTCAATTACATATTTTCATTTTTGTCGAGCACTGACAAATTCGTTTTGACAAAAACAGTTTGGTGCACTTCACCCTTTTTCTTTGGAGAAAAACTGCATGGCTTGTTAAACAAATTAGCTATAAGCCTTAGAAGATTGTATTCAGACCCATCTTTCCGATATTATTTATCTTAGAAGGTTTCTTACATTCTTAAGCTTGCAACGAGATGTCCATTTAATTTTAACACGACATGCTAAACGAACAAGAAAACAAGAGATGAACCATGGTACATGATAAGGAGAAGCCAACTCACTTTTCCATCCGACATTCCAGATATTTCTTAGAGAATTGCCTGCATTCCTCAGATCTGTGACCAAGCGATTTTAGACAACTGAGATATTCCTTCTTCTCCTGAAATGGCGCCAACAAACAAATTAAGCTACCTAAGACTGAACTGGAAAATTCAGAAGCAACATGTTGACTGTAACGTCTGAAATATAGCAACTTGCAGGGACATGCTTCCCTCATATACAAATATAATTAAGAAAACGTTAATTTTTTATGAAACATAAATAAACACTACCACGTCACATAAATGCATGTGGTCCAATGGAAATATTCCTTTCTCAGGAGGCACTGGGCGGAGTCCCCTGTTGCCACCAAAGGCACCACCTGTTACAAAAGTTTCAATAGGGGAAATAAGTGACAAAGCAAACCATCAATACACACACACACACACAGATTTGGCAGAAGTAAAAGAACACTTAAGGAAGTTATCAAACATAAAAATAGAACTAAAAAAGACGAGATTAATTCTCTCTTTTCTGAGTTAATAGACTCTGACAAAAAATTTGAAGACAACACGTTCTCTATCACGTTTCTAGTAGTACAATGAGCAAGATAAGCCAAAAAAAAAAATCATTCAGGCAATTAAAAATTGACGAGTCACAAGTTTTAATGTCCTTAAGATTACACAAGAATCCTTCATTCATAATTCTTTCACACCAAAACATTCTAACAGCAGCATATTGTATACGTTACTTTATGCAGAACCCCTTCCAGAACCTCATAACAACAGTAGTTACATACTAGTATTTAACCAGTAAGTCTGTTTCAGAAGAAACCCACTTGCTTATCTGCATCCATGCCATGGAATTATCAGGCATCAATAAGTCATTTATTGGTGCAGAGTTCAATTTGTAACAACCCCTTTAAAAAAAATAAATACCCCATTATTCAATGAACAAATAATTTTTTTTTTAAAAAAGGTCTGGGGGAATTTGTCTCAAATCATCATCAATGAACAGCTTTAGCATAAATACCCCATTATCCAATATTCGTACTTCTGCTGGTATGTGTGCGACTGCCAATTCGAACTCGTGATTTGGGAAGTGAAAGCACTGCACTCTCACCTTCAACCTAAATTTCGTATTTCTACTAAAACCTAGGGCCCAAAAACGATGGAAGAGGAGCAAAACATAAAGTTTAAGGCAGTGGTTACCTAATTCGCCCATGACCCGTGCGAATCACGTTCCCCTTCAGCCTTATCGAAACGGAGTTATTCGGCCAAATCAGGGTAATGGACGCGCCAGAAGAGTGCTGCGCTGGTCTGCTGTGTGATTTCTGTTGAAAATTTGCAACACAGTGGCCGGATTCTGGAACAAGACTCACGCGGCCGGCAGTATCTATAGGCTTCGGGAGTGAATGGGAATATAGGCAGGACTAAACTAAATTTTATTAGGAAAAGTTACACATAAAGAACCCTTAATATGTAAAATTATTATTTGAAATTCTAAATTTGAAAATTAACAAATAAGAACCCATTCCACTTTTGTAAATATGAAATTATAGTAAAATGTCTTAAATATCCCTCAATTAATTGACAAGTTGATTATGAGAAATAATAAGTTTACTTTAACGAATGATAATTTTAATATTAAACCACAACTTGTCTGAGGATATGCCAAATGACGAATTGACTATAGAAAATGACAAATTCACTTTAACGCATAACAATTTCATTAGATCAAATTACAATTTGGCTTAGGGACATTTTAGACATTTTACCTAAATTTCATATTTGTAAAAGTATAATTGGATCCTTATTTGCTATTTTTTAAATTTAAGATCCCAAATCATAATTTTACATATTAAGAGGTTTTTATTTGTATTTTTCCAATTTATTACGTCATTGTCCAGACTCCAGAGAGAAATGGCATTGCCTCCCAAATACTCCTTTGATTCTTTTTGGGGATATTTTATTTGCGAGTTCCCCTAATTTTTTTTAATTTTTTAACAGTTTTGTAATGTCAATATAATATTAGTTAATATACAATATAAGATAAAAGGCCTACATCAAAACATATTATGTATATAGTATGAATAATATGATTTGTTTTTTAATTAAAAGAACCATTTAGTTGGTTTTGCAAATGAATCCCCATTTTTTTTAAAATTTGTATGTGAACATCTTAATAATTGTGTTGGTCAATAAACTTGGAGTTTTATATGATTTAGTTTGCTTATAACTTATTAAATTCCTCTCGTCCACAATTTATTCCAATTATGTATATTATTCATATTACTTTTATTGTCGTTTCTCCAGTGAAAAGAAGATGATTGCAATATATAATTTTGTAGTAAAAGTGTCAATTTTGTAAAAATAATTCTACTTTTGAATCTATTAAAAATACAGATACAGTTATATGTTTAGAAAGAACAGTTAAAAGAAAACTACGCATGTAAGTCTTATGCATGGCGCAATATCTAAGAAATTAGAAAGCCATTCATGATTTATGATTTAAGATGCGTATCTCTCATTAATTTTTTTATATATTTTATATTGATGTTTTAACAACAAAATTATTTATTCAAATTTTTACAATGTATTAGGTATATATAACATGATAATAATCAATATCAATTATAAATGTAAAAATTATATATATAAAGTCATAGTAGGTATAAGTCCTAAGAAGTAAAGTTCATTCAGTCAGTGCTGAATAGTTCTATTCACAATTGCATACCATTACTTGACTTTTTGAAATGCTAATAAGGACATTAAAAATGGTCAAGTCGGAAATAATCAATGAGAGAACAACAGTACAAGGAAGAACAATATACAGTTACCATTTGCTTCGATGGTGTACAGAATACATATTTGTGGTTGCCTCTAAACAAGATAACACTCATTATTCTACCCTCAGCTCATGACTAACTCATGGCATTTTCTAAAGCAAAAGTTTGTAAAGTATTTAAAAAAGAAGAGGGCAAAAAAAAAAGGAAAGAAACAAAGAAAGAAAGAGTTGGTAAGAAAAAGAAAAAGAGGGGAGACTATACCCAATATATACTTCTACTCTTCTTGTTTCCTCTCAGCTTGAAACGTTCAAATTACCTTCTAAACCCGGAAGCAGTGAGTGTACTGGCATGCCCATGCCAGATTGCAGGAGAAAAGGCATGGGCAACCAATAGATGACTAGATGGTAGAGCTAATGTTGATTGATTATATTCGGTATGAAGATGTCTGTGAAATGAGATTTGACACAATAGGAGAAGAGGAAGTATCAGGCGTTCTTAGCCTCTGTGAGTGGGGATGTTCAATGATCACTAGAACTGCACCTTCTGAGTTTTCATCACGGCAAGCAGAAGTTGGCTGCCAAAACATACAAAAGTGTCTAAGCCAAACAGATTCGTTAATAAAAGCACGTATGAATACACACTAGCTAGCTCATTTTTTTGAACAGATTCTAAAGAAGAATGACGAGATTAAACTGAAGTTTTTTATTTAAGCAGCGGTTACGGTTCACACTACTATTGTCTCTTTAAAACAGATTCTAAAGAATGACGAGATTAAACTGAAGTTTTTTTAAGCAGCCATTACGGTTCATATTATTGTTGTCTCTTTAAAAGAATTTTTTTACGACACATATTTTATTGACTAGCTTATTAACAAATACTAAAAATTGCGCCCAAGTTTTTCCAGTTTAATAATACAATGTACTGTGAGAGCAAGCTTATACATACCACCCCAATGTGCCATTCATGACTACTGAAATCTTTAAAAGTAGCGGCATCCATTTCCTGCAGCAACATGCTTAGCCTGGTCAGAAGATGGAGACATGCTATATAAACTAAATCAAAGATGGATTAATTCTTTAATCCTTCCTATCTAAGCTTACAAAGCGAGTAGGTCGAAAGATATAAGCAATGCAAAAGGGATGCGAGTGTTTAGCAATCATTTATACCCATGAGACACAAGAAAAGGTACTCCACCGCAATAAACTCTTTAAAGTATCATTTCCTCCTAAGGTGGGCCACTACCTCATGGATGGATGTATAATGAGGCAGCAATCCCTATTCTTTACAAATCAAGTATAGGTAAGGCCATTTAGGCAGAAGAAGGAAGAATTGCAAATGAAAAATCGAGACATAATTTAAAGTATTACTAATAATTTTTCCTAAGAAACAAGCTAATTCTATTAAGCAGAAGCTGATCTTATTTTATCCTCATGATGATGATGAAGTTCACATCTAATTTTTATGTTGACTGCACCATAGGAAGATCTTATAACTTACAATACTGTAGATGGGAGGCACCAAAGTATCGCCTTTACACTTGGTGGCAGGCATAACAGAGAAGCGTGGCGCCAAGTCCTGTGACCTGAAAGTCCACCTGCAGGTAAAGGATAAGTGAAGAATAATTGAATGTCGGGAATGGACTCATCGAAAGGTTCACTATACTTTGTGGTTGTGTTTTGTGTTAAAAGAACTTCATCGATCTATTATTCATGCATAGGTAAAGCATATTCACATACCCAATGTATGAAAAAATGCAGAATTGTGCCCATTCTCTGACTAGTAACCGAAGGCAGTAATTCTCTGAAGAGTCATCCATGTTCATGTATATCTAGAAATCAAGCGGCTTTCAAAGTAAGATACTATAAGCAAAATATTCATTTATGGTTAGAAAGTAAAGCCCAAACATAGTACCATAGTTTCTGCCATAGCTACTATCTGCATTGCAACCTGGAATTTCCTGCACACAAGAAGGAAGATATGTCACCTATGAAGTGTGATTTCTTGTCTTGCACAAAGGATGATGCTTAGTTATTAGTAAGACACAAATGAGAAAAGTATTGATACACATTTCTCAGGTGCGTAACACTAACTTGAACATCATGTACTTCGTATACAGAGCATCATGCATTGTCCGAACATCTTCATTTTCAACAATACTCAGTTGTTCCCGCAACAACAATAGGTTTTGTGATATATGCCGGAAAATAACATAGAATGAAATGAAATAATTCAGTAGCAGAAGAACCTGTAAATTGAATAAATTAGGGGTTAGCATCAGAGAACCGTGCTTGATTAATATAAACCAATGTGGCAGTTTTACAATTTAAACTGCATACTAAATAGACCATGTGAAAAAAATAAAAACTTACCGTGAAGTATGGTACGCAAGCTTTGTAACCCACTAGCGTTAAGTAAAAGACACATCCAAGTGCAGCAGTTGTACGGCGTTCACTTAAAGAAAGATGCTCACACATGATACAGTAGCCATGAGCAATGAGCAAGAAGGAGACAAAGGCAGCAGTCTGAAAGAGCACCCCAGTTACATACACCCCAAATGACATCCACAAGGAACATGCCTGAAAATAGAAGCATGAATACCTGCAGGAATGTTGTGTTGGATACTCAATGAAATAAATTTTGCAGACAGCATATATTAAGTTCTCGATGCTAGAATGTATTATCAAATAAGCACCAAACTTATATTCAAGCAAAGCCTTGCTCCTCGCAATAAAAAATGCACATTTCTCAATTTGCAAACCCTGACACTTACGACTTTAGCGCCGCTAGACAATGGGTGTTATATACCACTAGCTAAATATATGGTACTACAGATTCATTATTACAATCAGCAATTTTAAAAATACAGATAGATTTCGAGAAATTACACCATTATTGTTTGAACGGTGCGGCCAGTGTCCCCTTTTCCTGTCAATGATCCCCAACATCATATTTTCCATATAACTGCTTAGGATTTCTAAAGTCTCTTGTGGAGCAAAAGATAAGTACATGCGTTCTGGTAAATTCTCAGTCCATTAGATTCAGATACGGGGTTACCCATTTCTATACCGTTCTTATTCAATTTTATAGCTGGCTTCTTCATGGTTGTTGCATATTCTTTAGGGTGCTTTGCACAGGAGCAAAACCGGAAAGAATGAAGGAGAAAAGGGGTGGCAGTGGGGCTAAGGGGTGAAGGGACCATATCACATGCACAATAAATTTTATCTCTTCCCTCTATTCACCGTATTGGCACTCCCATGGTCCTACTAATCATGCCTTTTAGCATTGATTTGTCTTCTGAACTATCAACCGAAGCAAGAGTTATCCCACTCCCTCAAAAATAAGACAGTTAATAAAAATAAGATAGACAAAAATATTTGATCAGCACAGAATAATGAATTTAAATTCTAACACTAACATTTGAGCATTTATATCTAGTACAAGTATAACAAGCCACGGGACTAATCCAAAACGTACCAGAAGAGAAAGGACAGCAGGAGCTGCAATACTTTTATAAAGGGAACTGAGGTTAGTGCCCACTGCAAATTATTTGACTGCTCTAGCAAAAGAGTTAAAAATAAATAAATAAATAAAAACAAGAGTTATGGAAACAGATAATTAACTTCTGTATTTTTCCAAAATGAAAGCATAAATATAAACGCTGAGCAAACAGAAAAAATCACAACAGCAGATAAAATAAAGGTAATCCTCACAAGTCACACAGTAGCATATTGATCTCGTTCGATACAGAAACAATTTAGAGCACACGAAAACAGATCATTTACGTATTTCCGTGTTTGATTAAAAGTTCTCTATCATTCGTAAAAGGAAAAAGAATATTCGCAGCAAGTTTACATTACAGAGACAAAGGATTCTCTGTAGTCTGTACACTAAATTAAGGTGCATTAGGAAACTCCGAGAACTTTACCGGGGAGAAAAAACATAGGCAGGAGCAGGAATGAAATTTCGATTTCTCATGAAGCTCTATTTTTTAAAAGATAATTAATGGAGCAAAATGATCAACCTCTAACAAGAAAAAGAAACCCAAGTAGTAAGCACATGGAGCACAGAACTCTTCCGAACAGCCAAACAGTGACGTTACACTTAGTGATTGCATACTTCTCATTGAACCAACCAATAGATGCAGTCAGCATCAAACCAACGAAACAACAATCACATCCAGAAGGTTCAATGAGAGCGAGAAATAATCTCTACTCATTGAACATATAAAGGATAAGATTACGATGAGGAGAATGAAGGACCTGAAACTGGCGCTTTTTGTAGGTATTAAGAGTCCAAGAGCAAGCAGAGAGAAGCCAGATGGACAAGAAGGCGAAGTAAAGCCCCGGAAGTGGCCGGTACGACTCGTCCAGTCCGACAGGGTAGCCTCCGACGCCGGCCGCCGCGCCCATATTGGCCTTAGTTGGGCTTCAATTAGTGGGAATTGGTGGGAGGAGAATTGAAATTGAGGTCCTGAACTTGGCCGTTGATGAATTGCAGAGCGTTCGTTGGCGCTCTCCAGCTTTCTGTTCTACTTATACGCCGGGTGTTGAACACGTCCCCAACGTGGACTTCTGAATTGGGAGCTTTAAAACGACATGCCCGATATTTATTACTTCCCCTTTTTTTTTAATATAAATTTTATATTTTGAAATTAATTGATTTCTAAAAAATAAAAGAAACATTATATGTATTAGAAATGTGAGAAACAAATACCCACTTATTATAAATATACAGTGCAATTGGTTATGAATTTTGTATTGATATTGATAAAACAATGAGATTTTAATTAAAAAGAACATTACATGAACAAATTTCAAGTTATAAACCAACACAAACATGAACTTCAGTTAAATAATAGGGGAATCTTTATTTAAAAAGATGGAAAATACTTTTTTGGGTCAAAATCAAGGTCAAACAATAAAATAATTTTTTTAAAATTTAATATATTATATTGCTCTGACATTTATTATTTCTGTATTGATATCCTTGAATCAAAGAGATAAATATATTATTTTAAATGCAGCAAATTCATAACCAAATAATATACACACACGAAGAAGTTTAAATTTTTATGAATATAATTATTGTTTCTATGTCCATGACAATTTAAAAAAATAATGGTAAAAAAGCTCTTACTTGTCAAAGAAATTGAAGTATTGTCAGCATTGATTAAGGATATTCTTTTTTTAAATAATTTTTCTTCATTTACAAAGTTCGATATCTTCATATTTTAAGAAAAAATAGTAATTATTGATTTTATTTGAACATTTTTTATCTGAGTGTAAATTTAAGAAATGAGTAACATCATCATTATAAATATCATAAACAAAATTTAAACTGATGTCATCTAGAAGCTGTGCCGGAAGGTTTGACTTCAAACTATGGGAAACAAATTTGTTGGTACAAAACAATGATAACATAGTTTACCAGAATTTGCGCCTTACAAATATTAATTTACTATAAGATAATTATGAGGAGTTTAGTGACTTAAAAAGATGAGGGCCACATGATTTTTTTAAAAAAGTTTATTTTGAAATTGGGAATTAAAAAAGAATGCAAAGTTGATGGGCCGATTTTTATGGAAATAAAGTGGGTGAGTGCAACCATCTGGAAGTGGCAAGAGGTGAATGGAGTCACACAACAAAACCACTTTCCTTAGTTTGTGAAATTCCCTCATTCATAATTAAAATATCATCTCTATCCCTACCCACTCACCATCCAAAGATCACTCTCCATTAATATTTCTTTTTAACAATAATATAACTTTTTATATTCTAAATTTTAGTATCATATGAATTGATATTGTAATTTTATTATTTTTGTAAGATAAAAGGTTTAGTTGAGTTGGGTCCTAAAAACTCATCAGAACTCATCAGAGCCAAAGTATGTCTTCGTATTCAAAAAACTTTTTGAACTTGTGATCTTGTGAGTTATAAGCCGACTCCTTATCAAGTAAATTAGCTCTTATTTGCAGAGCAAAAACATCTTAACTGCATGGGTTTCATTAGATTCCCTTATTTCTTCTCTATTGATGGAACTTACATATCCATCATACTCAAAATCAAACTCACAAACTCACATTTAATAAAAGTTTAAAGAAGATGTTTATTGTGCACGTGATACATCTAAAGGTTGGAAAAATTAATTTTGTAGGATTTCTATAATAATATCATGTTATCATACTAATCATTTATTTTAATGTACTTAATTAATTTATATCTGTGTTTAATGCGAAATATAAATGATAAAAAATTAAAAGGCATGGTGGCGTAACATAGGAATAGTAAGATGCGGAGACGAGGCAAAGACCGGTTTCGAAAGAGGACGTGAAGAGCACTAATTAAATCAATTATTATTTGCCCCAACCACCCATTTGCCTTTTGTTATTATTACCATTATTTGCCGCTTTTTCACTCTAGTGATTCATCATCATCTGACCTTGTTTTAGATGTGCCCTAAATTGGATTTTGACTTTTTGAGTTTTATAAAGATAGAAAAACCTGAATTCTTCTTATTCCACACCGCCTAAAAGTACTCTTTTAATGCAGGCCTGTGGATTGATTTTTTTTTTTTTGATAAAATTTTTTTTCCCTTGACATAAAATACATCATTAAATTTACTATATTGTCTCTAATTTATTGTTCTATAGAGTATAGACTACTAATTTTTTAAACAAATGTGTGTGTATATGTTTTGACCAAGAAAAGTATATATACTCCTTCCGGTTCAAAATATAAACTAAAGTTAGCTCATTTACCTTTATCAAGAAATGAAATAAAAACAGTTTAAAACAATAAATGTGTACGTGATTTTTTTTTTGATCTACCCTTATTAATGAGATAATAAATAAAAAAGGAGGAAAGAGAATATACTGAGGTAAAGGATGAGAGAAAGTGTGTCATGAATAAATTGAATTAGTGGAGGAAAATAAAGTCAACCAAAATGTAGTTTAAAAAACAAGGCCGGTTAGAAAATATTCATTGAAACTTCTACCCTCTATTCACTTTGTTAACACCTTTTTCTCTTTATATATCTCGTAAACCAGCCACTTTTTGTAATTAATGTCATCAATAGTAAAAAAAAAAATTAAATACTCCTCAGGTTCTTAATATAAGACCCATTTAACTAATTTGATTAGATTAAGAAAGTTAGATAAGTTAGTTAATTATAAGAAAAGTGACACATTTTTGTAAAACACCATAATCATTTTTCTTCATACCCCATCTTCCTCTTCTACTTGATTATGGTTGATGGAGTATCTATAGGGGTAATTTAGAGAAAATTGATAAATATGAGAAATGGGTCTTATATTTAGGATCATAACCAACTCAATAATTGAGTCATATATTAAGGACCGAAGGAGTATATATGTTAGGGGTAAAATTGGAAAATATTCATTAAGTGGTTAGACAAATTTGAAATGTTATCTTATAAAAAAAAAAAGCCCCTCAACAAATGTTAGCTTATATTTTGTACCAGAGGGAGAATTGCCCAGCAGTCAAATTGAAAAGTTATTAAATTTTAAGATAGAGTTGATAAAATTTAAGGTTTTTTTTAATAAAACATATTAAAAGTGTCTTATAAATAAAATAAGATGAGTTGTAGAACTTCCTTTCTGCAGTTGAAAATATAAATATGAAATCTTAAAGGGGCTTAGTTTTGTTTATAAGCTAAAATTTGAATGAAGACTTTATTTTACATATTCTATTGCATGTATATTTAAATGAAGGCTTTATTGAGGGGAACCTTCTTTGGGTGTGTGAAGCGGGGGGGAACAAAAGCTTGTTACGTTGTTTGATAAAAGTAGAGAATGAGAATGGTTGAGTTTGACCAACAACAAATAGAGAAGTTGAGGAAACGGGTGTTGACCACATTGAAGAACTTAATACTGGTGATTCGGTAGATGGAGATGGCTCATCCATCTCATCACCTATTGCAACTTTACAAGACTTTTGGTGACCCAACTCACTTCCAAATATTATTCATTCCATATCTAATCTCCTCATTCCTCATTCATTGTCAATCTTTTTCTCTTTCAATTTTACTCATATACCCATTTCAAATATTTTTAATTTCAATTCAAAAACTATAATTAAGCCTCTTTCAAAATTATTATCGTTTTTCCAAAAGAATTTAAAAAAAAATCTTAATTTTAAGTTTCCTACGAGGTGGGCAAACAGGGTTAAGGGAGAAGGTTCTTCCAAATAACAACACAAGTGGATGGCCAAAAAAAAAAAGTAAATTATAATCAGGTTTTTAAGTAAAAGATTTAATTACTTTAAAATTCATTGACAACTGAAAAACATGTAATGACAAGTTTCAAAGTAGGAAATAACAAATTTATATTAATCACTTGTCATTTGGATTTCTTCGCAATTAAATTCTTTACTTAGGACTTCATGATCATTCTTTGAAAAAATTAATAACACCACAA